CCTGGTTGTAGACGAAATTATTTCTCGTCGAAGAGTGGGCGACGCTTTCGTAATGTTTTCGAGTATGTTCATTAGAATTTTCGTAATTTTCGGGTGTTCGGACGGAGCCTTCGGATTGGCTTCCGAAAAAAGCGAAGGCTTCGTCATGAGGAGACAAGTGCACGGGAGTCCTCAGGCGGCCGGGAGTTGGTCGTCAGGAACGCGCAAGGTAGCGCAAATGGCGAGATGTACTGTACGACGATGTATGTCTGGCATGCCATGTAGCGGTAGGGTGAACGGTAGCTGTGTCGCGGGTCCCAGCGTTTCCGGCAGGCTAGTTGCAAACGATGGACGGGAATTCCAAACTATTTCGGCAATGGGCGAATCAGACAATTTCGGAACGATACGATCGCACGAGGACGTGCGGGTGTACAGTTGTGTGGGAGCAGCTGGGATTTATGACCTCGGCGCTATTCACCACGACGACCATCTAGAGGAGATGACGCTTTGTTGGAGTGAGTGTACTCAGCGAGGGCGACTTCCCGCATGGGGAGGCGTTTTTCGTGGACCAGCGATTCATACCCCCACGATCAACGGAAACGGAGGCCACCACCCCTGGGTGTGTATTAAGTGTTTTTACACCGGCCGCCGAATGCGGTAACTGTCAGGAGCTGAAGCAGTGGGAGAAGATCGACGGGAGTACTGGAGCAGATGGGTTAGCAGCGTTCGGGCTGCTACTCGCTCAGCTACGTCGCCCGGAAATCACCATTCCCACCAGGTAGCAATGCCGACGTATTAATCGACGACTTCTGGCTGAATAAGGGGGATGAACCTGCGCACTACACCGTGCTGATCAAAATTTTCGGAGTTACTCCTGCAGTGGAGCTGACGGTTTTCACCTGGTGCAGCAGAAGGAGGTTCCGACTTTTGTGGGTGTAGTTTGACGAGTTTTCGACGGAGAAGGGAGCGGTCCAGCGGTCAGTAGGCGAGCTCGTTAAAGCTCCTCTGACTAGAAGTGTGCGCACTCCTATCTCTGCGGATTCTTCTAGCTAGTTAAGTAGCAGCGAAGCGGTTTTGGGTTACATGCAGCAGCCGCGAGATGGGTGGACGTCTGCACGGCTAGCTGGACAGGGGTACCAGATAATTTATAGGTTTGGATAACAGGGTTTAGGAAATCGACGGCGTATGATGCGCGTTGACCTCGATCGATGGCCAAAACATCATGCCGAGGCGGTGGACTCCGGTGTTCCCTAATATAAAGGGTGTCGTTTATGCGTACAGTAGGTGGAGAAACCGTGGGGGTGCTGCTAAAGGACGCCGTGATGCTCGAGTGTTTTATGGGTAGCTGTGAAGCGAAGTTACGGTATTCGCAAAGTACCGTGTGGTTCCGACATTTTCGCTGGAGCAGATCATGGACTTACAGCTGGAGTTGTGCCTGCTATCTTCAGGGGTACAAGCAACATCGGGCGAGATTCTCGGAATGTTTTGGTCGCATGGAGGGGGAGGAGAAGCGTAGCAGCTGTTTCGTCTCTTCCCGATTTTTTCGGCGTGCACGGACAAAGAAGCTGATGCAGCTGGCGTCATTCGACCCCGGGTTTCATTCGAGGTTTTTCAATGGAGCGGGACTAGTATCGGTTACTCTCCATCGTCATCGTCCTCAATCTCTTGCCATCACCCGCTACCGCCTCCATCGTCAATTCGCGTGATTCGCCCTATAGTGTGAACACGACCCCGTCGCATCATCGCCACCTATCAGGAGCAGTATCGAAATGAAAAGATTTTGCAACAGTACTGTTGGCGCTTTGTTGGGACCAGCTCGCAAGCCGTGTTCCTAATCGTGCAGAATTTTTAGTTCGTATGGGAGCCTTCCGGAGCAGTTACTTCTGAGTTTCAAGACACTTGAAGCGGTTTACCCTTCAAAGGAATTTCAACTTAAGAGCATATTTGGGATTTCTCGAGGTTGGAGTTTTGCAGCGGCATCTTCGAAGCTGAGTGTGAGACTTTTCAGCAGCAGTGTGGGATTACAGTGACATGAAATTTTTGTCCGGATGTTTAGCATGTTTTTGCATTTTGACGAGCTGTATGCTGTAAACATTAAGCCTTAATCCATGGTGGCCATACACGTAGAGAAGAGCAGTTAGAGCACTCACTCAAGTCTCCTAAAACCAGAGTAGTATAGTACATGGTCCTTCAACACGACATCATTTACAAACAGCACATCCGTACGATTTGTATCGAGGACAGGCAACAAACTAGTTACTAGTAAAACTAGTACCTAGTCCAGCGTCCCTTTGCGCGGATCACCGCCTTGATCCTCCTTGGCATACTGTCGATGAGGTTTGAGCACACTTCCACCTGAATCTTGTCACATTCCTCCTGCACCCTCTCCCACAGCTCCAACATTCCACTGGGAGGCTTGTCGTACTTCGCCAGCTCCCTTTTGAAGTGTGGTCATAGGTGCTCTATCGGGTTAAGGTCCTGGGAGGACGACGACCATTCCAGTACTGCATACTCCTGCTCCCCAAGCCAGTCTTGCACCAGACGTGGCTTGTGCTTGGGATCATTATCGTGCTGGAATATGACCTCTAAGGGGGGGAGCTTGTAAAAATCAATGGTTTGAGACAGTTCGTCTTGCAAGATGCTGCGATACAGCGACCCATCCATCCTTCTATCGATCTTGCACATGAACTCCGCCCCCTCATACGTCATGCAACCCCACACCATCACAAAGCCGACCCCATGCTTAACTGTCTGCTGGATTTGGTGGCTCTGGAGTTTGCTGCCCACGCGAATCCAGGCGTACGCACGTCCGCCGGAGCAGAAACGATTAATATTCGTCTCATCGGACCATATCACACGCTTCCATTCCTCCATCGTCCAGTCGGCATGAGACCTCGCAAAATCCAGCCGGTCTCGTATGTTTTTCGCAGAGAGCCTCGGTTTCTTGGGCTGCTGCACAGCGATCAGCTCTGCGGATCGTAAGGAGTTCCTAACGGTCTTCGAGTCTACAACCAGAGCGTGCTTCACCTCTAGCACCTTCACGACGTCCACACTAGTTTTCGCCTCCCCGCTGGTAATCGCACGAACTATACCGCATTGGAGGTGGGTTGTAATTAACCGTGGACGGCCGTCCATGGGCATTGTAGGTCGCACCTCATCGCGACTCATCTCGGCAATCACCTTCAGCCCGTAATCATGTACGGTACTATTGCCTATGCCGAGCTCCTTGGCTATTTTCCTAGTCGGCAGCCCCTTGCGCAACATGCTCACGATACGCGCGCGCTTCTTCTCATCTACCGGCTTCATCGTGCTGCGGTCGTAGGTTAACTTCTGGCCTATCTCCAACACTAACGGTTGTTGCGTGAGACGGTATGTACATTAAGTGGCGAGCGAAATTAGATCTAGACTGTCGCTCGGTATGAACTGTCCGCATCAACTGTCGATGAGTAAATCTCATCCTCACTAACTGGATGAGGAACAATCGCGCCAAGCTGTATACGGTGGAAACAAAACTCGACGAACTTGTTACACGACAAAAAAAAAAGTTTTACTATATTCGAATTTTGTGCTGCATAGCGCAAAGTTTTTAAGTGCTGAACATCTGGGAAATTTTTCCTGTCACTGTATTTCACTACCCTAGATTATTCGGTTTCTTGCTGTTGTACCTTGGAAGGTTGGGAGTTGTTTTCTTCTTGGAGGGGGGGAGAAGGGCAGCTGTGCTGCAATTTTTCGTCTGACCCATTGGCGTGTTCCATCATCCATCTTCGAGCATCATCTGTGCTTCCGCGCTTGATTTCGTCATTTCGTTGATGGAGTTCGCTGACTTTCGTGGGACACGGACGCGTGTTCTCGCATGTGACACGAACGACCTCGCGTTTGATGAGCGAATTCTTCATTTCATCGAGCATCACGTTATTCGCCAGTCATGATTTCAAGATATTCACCTGCCACGCGTCATCATCAATCGACCACTCGACAGTTTCACTGTTCATTGCCCTTGCCCGTTTGGTTAGCAGAAGAATCGGACCATCTTCGACGGTTAAGATTAAAAGCGATCATTTCAACGCTTTCTTACCATCGATTTCAGTTCGACCTCAAAACATCGTCAGGCCGGCGTAATCATTACTCTCGTCACAGGGCTGAAGACTTACAGTCACATCGGGGATTACTTGTAATGACTGTTCGGCCTCGATATAGGGAGGGCCTTCCTTTAGAATGTGGGAGAGTGTAAGGAATTATGATTCCATAATGAGGCTCACCACAACGAGTACACGCGAACCTCTCAGGTCCGCAGGCTCGGCCCTTGGTTCTCGCGCCAAACCAGCCCCCGTCGACCTTTTCGGCCCCAATATGATCATGAGTCGCCACGAACCCATTTTGACCCCGTTCCCATCGGGACTATCGAGCCCTTGACTGGTCCAACCCTCGACATTTAACCCTGGTCAACTCGCTCTATATATTGCCTAGGCCTCATTATTCGGTACAACATTGTAATCATGTTCCCCTATAGTATTCTGCGCTATACTATGAGCTATAATTCATAACAGGTATACTGTGCATGAACTATTCTGTCTGGTTTGTCCTATTTTCTGTTCGGTTGGTATATCAAGCCCATCAGAGCGCGCCGTTTTGCTTACTGACACCACGGCATGTAGTGACGTGTTGCCCCCCTCAATTCACTCACCTCCTCGGCCAAGAATTGGTTCCAAGCTGCTGACGTCGGGGACTGGTCATTTCACGACCTGCGATCGCAGTGCCACATGGTAGCTGATGCAAGATGACTGCTACGGAATCACCGGCCGCCCCGCCGCATCGCTTGTCCACAATTGCCAGCCTGCGAGCTGGTTGTTGTCACGATTGGAGGTCAAGCACCGTTCCCAATTGTGGTGGATGACCTCTGCGGCGTGGCGCGCGATCGCAAATGCATCTGATCAGGTCGGCGGTAATGGACTTGAGCTCGCTGGCCTGCCACATTCAAATTCGAGTGCTTGGGTCGTGCTTCCCTTGTGATACGTGCCTCGACTCGACAACCAACGCAAGGTCTATTTATTGCTTACTCATTCGCCGGCTTCTTAGTATCACTTCGCCGCTGTTTTCATTATTCATCTGACTTAGTTTATACCGGAGACACCTCTCGAGCAACCATGGATGTAGCATCATTGATGGCTTCTCACGTGCTCTCTGCACCGCCACCTGCTGCAATTGTGGCCCTCCAAGCATCCGTTCACGAATCTGCTGCCCCACCGACTGCCTCGTTCGTCCCTCCACCGCCATCGGAGGTCGCAGCAAGCACTGACGACTTGACTTTCCAAGCGATCAACTCGCTCGACTGGGCGCAAGGCGGGTTGCCAGCGCTCACGTCGTCTGCGTCATCCACCTCCCTTCTCCCGCCAAACAGCCCGTCAGTCCCGCTACTCCGGCGAGTCTCCACCGACACTCTGCTTCAAATCGACGCCATTAATGCGCCGCCGCTCACAACGCGCCCGCATTTGGAGTCGTTCCCCATCCCCGGCAAAGACGACCAACGGCTCGCACGCGGGCTCCGCGCGGAGGTGCTGATAGAGGCGGAGGAGATCCTTCGAGGAAACGACCGTGGCGGGTACACGATTCCGGCCAAGGGGCTGTACCCGTACCAGTGGAACTGGGACTCGGGGCTGGTGGCAATCGGATGGTCCGCCGTGGACCACGAGCGCGCGTGGGAGGAGATGCGGAGGCTGTTTTCGGCGCAATGGGCGGACGGCATGGTGCCGCACATCGTGTTCCACCAGCCCAGCCCCACGTACTTCCCCGGCCCCGACATCTGGGGCACGGCCGACCACCCACGCAACAGCACGGGCATCACTCAGCCGCCGATCGCGGCGACGGCGGTTCGGCAGTTGCTGGAGCGTAGCATGGGCGGAGACTTTTCAGGCGGCGTGGCGTGGAACGGCGGCAGCCTGGCGGACGACCGGAGCAGCTACAGCTTGCAGCAGGCGGAGGAGCTGTTCCCGAAGCTCATGGCGTACCACCGCTGGTTCCAGATGGCGCGAGACCCGCAAGGCACGGGCGTGGTGGCGACGCTGCACCCGTGGGAGTCGGGCATGGACAACAGCGTCGCGTGGGACGTGCCTCTGCGAAACGTGCCCGTGGACGACATACCTGCGTACACGCGCAGGGACTTGGGCCACGTGGACGCGTCCATGCGTCCCACTCAGGCGGAGTACGACCGGTATCTCACGCTGCTGTACCGCTTCCGCGCCGTCGACTACGACCCCGAGCAGCTCTACTACCTGTCGCCGTTCCGCGTGACCGACGTGTGCACCAACTCCCTCCTCCACCGCGCCAACCTCGACCTCCGCTGGCTCGCCGTCACTCTGGGCCGCACGGACAACGCCATGGAGATCGACCAGTGGCTGCAACGCTCCGTGGCGGCCTTCCCGTCGCTGTGGGACGAGTCGAGTGGCATCTTCCGCTGCCGCGACCAGATCACAGGGGAGTTCCTCGATGCCGCCACGTCAGCGGGCTTCCTGCCGCTGTTTGCTCGCGTGGCAACACCCGAGCAGGCGGAGGCACTGGCAGGGACTCTGTCGACGTGGCTGGATCAGGTGGAGTACGGCGTGCCGAGCCTGGACCCCGCAGACGCACGTTTCGACCAGCTGAGGTACTGGAGGGGGCCAGTGTGGGCGATCGTGAACTACATGGTGACGGACGGGCTGAGGTTCTACGGCTACGAGGACCTGGCGACGCGAGTGGAGGGCAGCACACGGCAGCTGATGAACGAGCACGGGCTGTTCGAGTATTACGACCCCACCACAGGGCAGGGTGCTGGCGGCAGCGATTTCTCCTGGACTGCTGCCATGGCACTGGCTTGGCTCAACCAGACAGGCGGGTCAGGCATCGCAGGGTGAAGCGAGGCAGAGCAGAGATACAGATGGCGACGTGGATGTGAGAGGAGTGAGAGTCTGGCGTGTGAGTGTACAGAAGGTTGCCACCACTAGTGTTAGGCGTAGGGTGTATATTTATTTTTATCAAGCAAGATTATTTCAAATATAAGATTTCCCTTTCCCCAAAAGTGATGCATACATGATCTTGTTCAAGCTTCTGACTAACGGGAGCACATTTTTGGAAAGCATAACGGTCTTATAACATGGATAACGTCTTCATTCAATACAAACGCCATGGCTTCATGGAAGGTTGTAGTTCTTATCATGCCTTCCGTAACCATAATATTTTGGGCATAATGGTTGCGATGACGAGGACGCTATCGGATAGGATTGAAAGTGATAGAAGACAGCGGGAGTCTTTGAGTGACCTTCCCAACAATGGTCATGTGACCCGTTAACAACAGCAGGAGTCATCATCCACATTCTCTGGTCCCCATCAAATTTCCATGCTCAAAATGTAGACCCATTAGTCCTACACTAGTGTTTTGGATATGAACTTAGTTGAAAGAAGTACACAGCTCCCTCCCATCCCATCTAATGCCGCTAGTAAATTCCCAGTTCATTTCCCTGCCAGGTTGCGTTGGCGATCGATTTCCGTTCTTCTGTTTCATTTCCACGTGGCGGAAGGCTGATGCTCCGAAGCAGGTTTCTGACTGGGTCTTACTGTCGCATCGCTGGAGCAGTCGTGGAATCGTCATGCGCCACGCACCATGCTCACACGCCTGTGAGGTGTAGCCATTCGGAAGACGTGGCAGCGCGTCGCTTCCCAGATGCGTGGGGGCAGATGTCCTTTTGCTGAAGCCAAGCGGTTCGGTTTGGGAGAATGAGGAGGTAGCGGTGAGGCTGAGGGAAGCCCAGTGCACAGTGCAGTACTCCCACGCAGACGCAAGCAAAAGAGGGTGGGGAGCACAAAACTGATATCAAGGGTCGACGACCCACACAGTCACGCATTGAACGGGTTGCAAGGCGATTCAATACGGTAAACAGTATTTCTGAGGCTTTTTAGTACGGTGAAAGGTCGACATTCCGTCTGCGACCCTGGAAAACAGGGTTGTGGTGGGGAGGGAGGGATCCTAGACAGGCCGTACAAATTTAGGACATCGAAGCACACTCTGTAATCATCAGGTCGTAGTTACCGCTGTTTCTCTACTTCAGGTGCTTCTAGAACCCATGGCTGCCGTGCCGCCATCAGGCCTTCTAGGCCTTCCGAGTGTTGATTCATCCCTCAAGACTGCAAGGTTTGCTGCAGTTAAACGGTCCTTAGGCCTCGCCGCGTTCGACGGCGAACGGCACGGTGTGGGCTGTGGAAAAGATTCGGTTGCGTGCCGTCGCCGTGTAACGTGCGCTGCAGCTTCGCCGCTGCCGTCGCCGGCTCCGGCCATGCCTTCGTCGCGGAAAGACCCGAGTTGGCGCAGCAAGCAGGGAGAAACGAGTAAGGACTGAAAGAAGCGTAGGCAGAAGTGCAAAGAAGATGAAACAGGGATAGGCGAGAACTAAGCTGCGCAGATGTGCAAAGCAGGTTGCGTCAACGCAGCTTCATGTCTCTGCCATCCACTCCCAGAGGGGGCAGTCGCCGCCATCCACCACTCCGTCCCGCTTCTCTCTCTCCCGCTCCATCCCTCCTTCCCCGCCTGCTTTGTCGCCCCCGCTAGCGCCTTACATCGCGCATCTCATGTTTACAACATCCTCTTTCCTCCCTCGCAACTCGCACTTTCTCCTCCCCCCTCTCCCCCTCCCATGCAACATGCGAGGACTGGTGGCAGTCGTGCAGCCAGGTGGCGCAGAGCCGAGTGTGCGCGTGCCACGCGGCATCGAGGACATCTCCAACGGCGACCACATCCTTGGATTCGGCGCCGACCTCTCCCCGGACCACCCCGTGAGTCGCCTCTCCCGGACCACCCCGTGAGTCGCCTCTCCCGGACCACCCCGTGAGTCATCCCTGCCTTCCGCGCTCTCGGGAATCGCACCACACGTGCTTCAGCTTGCCGTGCTTCCAGGAGCCGTGTCAAATGTCAAATGTCTCACGTGCGCCTGCTCCCTCGTTTCCCTGCTGCTGCCCTCACGGAATGCGTCCTGCCCTTGATGGCGGTGCCGTGTGGCAGGGTTATCATGACGAGGAGTACAAGCGGCGCCGCGCCTACATCGCTGACATTGCTAAACTGCACCAAGTGTAAGTCGCCGCCTCGCCGTGTGCCCGCCTCGCCATTCTTGCGCCGCCCTTCCCGGCACCAACTGTCAGCTCGCTACCTCCTCATGGCTCCATCCATGGCCCCTCCCCACTGTGCATGCCACGTGCTGCCACGGCCCGCAGAGGCACGCCCATCCCGCGGGTGCAGTACAGCGACGAGGAGACGGCGGTGTGGGGCACGGTGCTCACGGCGCTGCAGCACCTCTACCCCACGCACGCCTGCTCCACGTTCCTGTACTCGCTGCCGCTCTTTGCCTTCTCGCCGCTCGCCATCCCGCAGCTGCAGGACGTGTCGGACGTGCTGCACGCGCACACCGGCTGGCGCATCCGACCCGTGGCGGGGCTGCTGCACCCACGGGACTTCCTCAACGGCCTCGCCTTCAAATACTTCCACTCCACGCAGGTGCCGCCGTGCACGCTGCTGCCGCCCATTGGACCCACCATCTGGCATTGCTCATCAAGCCCTCCCATGCTGTGCCATCCCCATACATGCATCCCACCTCCCACCCCTGCCCAGAGCACCCCTCTCCGCCCTCCCCACGTATATACCCTCTTCCCCCCCCTCCCCCCCTGCCGGCACGCAGTACATTCGGCACGGGTCGAACCCCATGTACACGCCGGAGCCCGACGTGTGCCACGAGCTGCTGGGCCACGTGCCCATGCTGGCGGACCCCGCCTTCAGCGCGCTGGCACACGCACTGGGGCAGGCGTCGCTGGGGGCCAGCGACAAGGACATCTGGCACCTCACCAAGCTCTACTGGTGCGCGAGGGGGAGGGGGGGAGGGGGGGAGCGGGGGAGGGGGGGAGAGGGTAGGAAGGAGAGGGAGATGCGTGGAGCAGCAGGGCTGTGGGAGGAGCGTGCCCTTGTGTCGTGGTGCCCCCACGTCTTCCACTGCCCTCACTCTTGAGTCCTCCACTTTTGCTCTGCTCGGCCTGTGGCATGGCATGGCATGGCACGGCATGCCATGGCATGGCACAACATGGCATGGCACAACATGGCATGGCACAACATGGCATGGCACAACATGGCATGGCATGGAATGGCGTGGCGTGGCGTGGCTTGGTGTGGCATGGCGTGGCATGGCATGGCATGGCATGGGTGCTCTCAGGTACACGGTGGAATTTGGTGTGCTGATGGAGGGTGGCGAGGTGCGGGCGTTCGGAGCGGGGCTGTTGTCCAGCTATGGCGAGCTGGCATACATGCGGTCAGGTGCGGATGGGCGGTACCCCTTGTTTGCGGCGCTGGACCCGCTGGGCGCGCTGCCGCGCATGAGCTACAAGGACGGCTTCCAGCGCTCCTACTTCCTCTGCCACGGCTTCCACGACCTTGCCGCCAAGCTGCACCGCTATGCCGCTGCCATGGCTGCTCGCACGCGGGCCGGAGGGGCGCATTGAGGGCATGTGCGGAATGGTGCTCGAGCCCATGGTGGAGGAGTGTAAATATGTTACATACATAGGTCTCTCAGTGGGAGTGCTCTAGTGTGGGTTTGAGTTATGCTGACTGGAGGTCCTCAGCTTCATTGGTCACAGGCAATCAGTCCACGGTTGAGCGATGCTGGCATCTTGGTGACGCAGGCAAGAGAGCCATGGACACAAGTGTGCTGTCTAAGAGTGTGTTGGTGCAACTGTATAGTCCGATTTTTACGCTAGTGCGGTTCATATCATTGCGACACCAACCTGGAAGGGGTCCTAGGTATCAAAGTTAACGAATGACTAGAACCATGACATACAAGGGAATATAACCTAATGGGTTGTACTTATCAGATTGAAATTGAATTGTATGATAGAGTGAGAGTACACAAAGATATACCTAACTGTTGTACTCTCTAAGAGGCGACCCTATACAGTCTATACAAACATGACAAATACACATGTTTGACACACCCCCTAGACTGCATAGGGGAATGCCCTAAACAAACAGCTCAGGGCGGCACTACTAGTCCAACCTCTGAGACAAGGGTCTAAGAGACCAGTCAGAAGGAGTACAAACAAGGCAAGAACAAGGGCAGGGCGGCACTACTAGTCCAGCCACTGCGAGAGGACACAAGTCCAGTCTCAGTATACGTATAAAGGACAGTACAAAGTCAAGGTCCTAGCAAGTGAGAGGCTACAGGAACTAGACCAAGCTGTACACAGTGCCGCTGATGATCTTTAGGCGCAAGCGCCTTCGTAAAGATATCAGCCGTGTTGGCACCTGAGGCCAAGTGTACTACGCGAGCCTGACGTCGCTGCTGTAGCTCACGCAGGAGGAAGTACCGCAGCTGAATGTGCTTCGCTCTGCCCTCGAGTCGAGGCTCCTGACACAGGAGGATCATGGCCCTGTTGTCAGCGAACAGGACCGGGGCAGAGCTAGGCCGCTCACCTAAGTCAGTGAGCAAGAAGGTCAGCCAGCGGAGCTCCTGTGCCGCCATGGCACCAGCGTAGATCTCAGCCTCACAGCTGGACTGCGCTACAGACGAGGAGCGGGTAGCTCTCCACGAGACGGCACCTGAGCCAAGGCTGAAGCAGTAGCCCTGGGTAGACCTGAGCGTCTCAGCGTCGTCTGCCCACGAAGCGTCTGTGTGTCCAGTAAGGACCACTGGCCTGCGTCCTCCTAGCACTAACCCCATGCCCGATGTACTAGCAAGATAACGCAGAACCCTCTTAGCGGCAGACCAGTGCTGCGGTCGGTGTCTGCCTGTGGCCACAAAGCGAGCCAGGATGCTGAGAGGGTATGCGAGATCTGGGCGAGTGCAAGTCATCAGGTACATGAGGCAACCCACCAGCTCTGCGTAGGGGCCGCTGGGCTCTACCAACTCCTCAGACACTGGAGCGGAGAGTCTGTGGTCTACAGGCAGAGGGGTGGGCTGTGCAGAGGAGAACTGAAGGCTGAACCTCTGAAGGACCTGGCGCACCAAGTGTGACTGAGTCAGGGTGATGGTGCGCGATGCTCTGTCCCTGGAGATCTGCAAGCCAAGGTAACGGCGCAGTTCTCCAAGGTCAGTGCACGTGTGTCTCTTCAGAAGCTCTGCCTTCACGGAGGCCAGTGCGTCCCTGTCTGCTGTGGCAAAGACCAGGTCGTCGACGTAAACAAGGATGTAGAACGGAGTCTGGCCAGCACGAACGAAGAGTGAAGGGTCTGCGGAAGACGGAAAGAACTGCAGGTCAGCAAGGGTAGCACGAAGAGTGTCGTGCCACTCACGAGGAGCCTGGAGCAGGCCGTAGACGGGGCGTCGCAGGAGCCACTGGGTCCCAGGAGGGAAGGTGCCAATAAAGCCCGGAGGGCGACGCAGGTAGACCTGCTCGTGTAGGCTGCCCTGAAGGAAGGCAGTGGAGAAGTCGAGGGAGTGAAGCTCGTAGTCACGCTGAGCCGCTAGGTGTAACAGAACCCGAAGAGTAGTCATCTTCGGGGTCGGAGCGAAGGTCTGGAAGAAGTCCACCCCCTCGCGCTGACTGAAGCCTCTAGCCACATAGCGCGCCTTGAAGACCGGCGGCTCTCCAGGAGGGCGCTTCACCTTGAAGAGCCAGCGGCCATCGACTACGTTCACCCCAGGTGGGGGAACTGCGTCGACGAAGGTGCCGGTGGATCTCCAAGATGCCATCTCCTGCTCCATGGCAGCTATCCACTGCGAGGCCCAGGGTCCCCAGGTCGCCTCAGCGTAAGTGCGAGGGGTCGGGATGTCAAAAGCGTCTGGGTCACCCTCAGGGACTAGCAGCATGGAGCAGAGATGGGGAGCAGCCTCGGAGAGGAAAGCAAGCTCGAACTGGCGGTCCTCCAGGACGTCACTGCCAAGGGCAGGAGCACCCCCGACAGACGGAGGACAGGCAGGGTCAGAGACCAGAGCGGAGGCGTAGTCGAGGCGGCGGGTAGAGGCGAAGTCAGCGACAGCAGCAACAAGGGCGTCAAGGCACGAGGCCGGAACAGACGGGTCGGTAACGAGAGAGGCAAGGACGCGAGGAACAAGCGGACGAGCGGCACGAAGGTAGTCAGACAGCGGGGGGGGTGCAACAACAAGGGAGGACGGAGGAGGCGACGGCAGAAGGGGAGGACGAGACGCGTGGGAACGAAGCAACATAGGGTGGGAGCGCAGGACAGGCGAGGCAGGACGAGCACGGGAGGGACGGTGAGACCAGACGTGCGACGGGGGAGTCGGGTCAGGAGACAGAGGAGGGGACACAGGAGGGGAACGAGGGGGGAGACGGGCCGGGGACGAGTCCGGCGGAGGGAAAACAGGGCCGTAGACAGGAAGAGGAGGAGACGGTCGGGGAGGAACCGACGCAGGGTCGGGGGACGGCAGGCCGAGCAGGCGAAGGGCTGACACCGGCGGGGACTGCTGCTGCGGCGGCACAACGGCGACACCGGGACCGCAAGCTGCTCCTCGGCTACCCCCGGCACTCTCCACACCAGCACCCCCAGAGGGACCACCGCCAGGGCGACCTGGACGAGCACCCCCAGAGTCACCGGACGGGTGCTGCGACGGCGGCGGCGGCGGCGGCGGCGGCAACGACGGCCGCAGCGGCGGCAGAGGCGGTGGAGGAGGGGACTGGGGAGGGGACGCCAGGGGAGGGGCGGCTGGCGAGGACCGCACAGGAGGGCCACCAGAGTCAGACGACTCCTCAACCGGGTCCACCGACGGAAGGGGGGTGACGTGGGACACACCAGAGGGGGCGGGACGGGGAGGAGGAGGAGGAGGGGCAGGGACTACCGGGGAAGGAGGGACCAGGAACAGGGGGGGGGTAACCGGGGGACCACGGTGGGGGAAGCGACGGTAGTAGGAGACGGACTCGTCAAAGGTGACGTCACGAGAGTGAAAGAAGCGGTGAGACGGCGGGTGGTAAAAGTGCCAGTCGGACGCGTCAAGGGGAAAACCGAGGAAGACGCAGGGAAGGGTGCGGGCAATGAGCTTGTCCGTGCCGGAGGCACGGACGTGAGCAAGGCAGCCCCAGACGTAGAACGCAGACGCGTCACCAGGAGACCCGGTCCACAGACGGGTCGGCGAAACCTGCGGCTACTGAGGGTGCGGCCACAGGTTAAGCTGGTGAGAAGCGTAGCGCACAGCGAACGGCCACAGAAAATGGGGTGCACCGGCATGGATCATGGAGGTGTGAGCGACCTCCATGACCAAACCGATGCGTCGCTCAGCGACCCCATTCTGCTGTGGGGAGTCCGGTAGGGTGAACGTCTGGGTGATGCCCTCCGCACGACAAAAGCGACCAAGGACACCTGAGGCAAACTCGCCACCACGGTCTGAGTGGAGACGCAAGACAGGGAGACCGCGGTGGACACGCGCAGAGACAAGCCAAGGGATGAGAGCGCCAGGCACGTCAGCCTTGCGCTCCAGGGGAAAGACTGTGGTGTAGCGAGTGAAGTCGTCGACGAGCACAAGGAAGTAGCGCTCTTGACACGGCCCAGGGACGGGGGCGGGGCCCCAGACGTCCAGGTGCAGGGTCTGCAGTGGCGCGGCGGTAGGGGGAAACGAGGAGGGGTGAGGGGCACGGCGAAGCCGACCCTCGACGCAAGGCGTGCAAGGTGGGGCTGGGGAGGAGGGAAACGCAGGGAGAGAACCTGGGAGACCAAGGACAAGACCGTGCTGGGACATGTGACGCAGACGCGGGAGCGCAGGGTGACCTAGGCGGTGGTGCCAAAGGAGGGTCGGGTGAGTGAGGGACCGACAGGAGCAGGCAGCAGCAGCCTGGGTGAGCTCTCCAGCCGGGGGGGTCACGGTGTCCAGAGTGAACAGGCCGGACACCGGGTCCCGGGGGAACGTGGACAGGGGGGCACCAGTGGCGGCCTCGGTACAGACAGCATACCGCTCGTGACCAGGGAACGTAGTGGTGACGCCAAGGTCCTGGAGGCAGCCGACACCAACTAGGTTCCTAGAGAACGAGGGGATATGCAGACCTGTAAGAGAGCCCGAAGGAACCGCCGGACAGGGAAGGGTGGTGGAACTGCGGGCGACGACCGGACCGCCAGAGGGGTCAGCGAGAGAAACGGCAGCAGGGACGGGAAGTGGCGTCAGGGTGGTGGATTCGCGGAAGAAACACCGAGAAGCGCCAGAGTCCAAGGTGAAGGAAAGCGAAGCAGAGGCGTCTGGCGACGGAACGACGGCGGAAGCACCAAGACTACACAAAGCAGGGGATCCTACGCCTGACGCAGCAGGGGAGGCTAAGCTAGGCACACCTACACTAGACAACAGTGAGTAATAAGCTGGAAGCACACTAGAGTCATCAGCATACATCACATGCAGAGCAGAAACAATGGCATCCATGTCCAAGTCAAAAATCGGAATACTATGTCTAAGCATGCTGTGCCAGTCCGGGAGGTCTGGCGACGGGCCGAAGCGCTGACGAAAGAGGTCGTCCAGGCGACGAAAACAGCGGGGAGTGGAGTGACCGATCTTACCGCAAACGAAGCCGCGGCGAGGACCGGTCTGGATCTGGTACTGACAGCGCCCGCCGCCAGAGCTACCACTCGACACACCACCACGCGCCCGGCCATCGCCAGCGCCGGGCCACCCGGGCGGGAGGACACTCGTCTGCCGCGTCTGCGACGGCTGCTGCGGCTGCTGCGAAGGCTGCGACTGCGGCGGCTGCTGCGGCTGCTGCAACTGCAGGGGCGGCGGCTCAGCTGAACTGGGCAGGGTCCCCTCGTCCGCTCCAGCACCAGACGACCCGACCCCACCACTACCCCCTCCCGCACCCCCGCCTCCGCCTCCGCCGTGCCCAACCTTGGGGCGGCGGCCCTTCCCCGAACGAAACTGCGCTGCAGCAGCAGTCTCAGCCACT